ACTAAACAAAATCTTGTTTAAAAAAAGAAAAAGAAAATCAGCTAGTGTGCTGATGAGCAGGAAACATATCGGTTAATGAGGACCAATAAAATTTAAACTAACGGCTATTTCTAAAAAAGGCAAATACTTCATTCTCTTCACTTCCAATCTGCAGGATTGTCATCTGCAGGTTGATTTAAGCTAAGTATGCAGCTTAATTCTCAACAATAACTGGATTTGGACAAAAATCAGTAAGTGTAGACACTGAGCAGGATCATTGGTTAATGAGGACAAATACTTAGGAAAAATAAATTTTATGTCACCAGAACATATCTTACTTCCAAATTGTTTTCAATTGGTAGAGGCAAAGGAACATTTTCCCGTGGTTCACAAACATGATCAACGAAAAGAGTCTTAATGACTGGATTTGGACGAGGGTCTTTACATTGTTTATGCTGCCAATTCAAGCTGTCAAGTTAAACACACAAGTCAGTCTCTCTCCCAATTACAAAAACCAGAAAGTGACTAAATCTTTTACTAAATATGAGAATAACAAGTACTCTCTCTCTCTCTCACACAAACGCACACACACATGTATAAACATATGCAATCACAAAATAGAAAGGAATACCAAAACCAGGAGGAAGCATTATCTTTGGTTAATGAGATTATGTAATCTACGACTTTTGATGCTAGGATACTTCAGTTTGCCACGGAAAACTGGATTTGCCTCAGTTATTTGCCTGAGTTCTTTCATCATAGTCTTCCTCATAGACATTATATCTCCACATATAGAGATTGCCTTATGATCCCTGTTGGATTGAACCCATACACATGTGATGCATTTCTTTGAAAAGCTCCTCATTACCTTCGGCAAAAACTTTGAGATCCTTCATGAGGATATCTAACGCCTTGGCGCGACAATTGCTGTCAAGAATGAACCAAAAACATGCAGAACATGGTATTTTTGAAGATATTGTTTATGCATAGATTATAAGAAGCTTTAAAAAAAATGATGTTCTCACTTGTCAATGGCCTCAAGGAAATTTTCCTTTCTGATCTGGAAATAGATATTCGTCGAGTAGCGATTGTTATTTCTGTTTCATATTGACATATTGGAGACATCAAATAAGGAGAGAGGAAAAATTGTGAGGGTCATTTTTTGAAAAATTAAACTTAGTTTACCTAGACTGCAAAATGGTTCTTTTTCATTGCTCATAAGTTTGACTCCAGCTCCAGTTAACTGCATCTAGAATATTGGTTTTGATCATTATTTCATCCCTTTCAGTTTGCTTCTCTGTTTTTCCCACCCAGCAGCAGCACCCCACTCAAAAATCTGCAGGGCCAAAATGACATCGTTAAATAACAGAAGTCACATTAGAGTATAAGCCATGTCTGAAAGTAATTGTAGTTTCCAATATGCATCAGCACCAGTAGAAACTAGTACATTCAAAGTGTTCGAGAAGGAAAGGCTAGTGACTCTTTTGGCGTGACCCTCAAGCTTCCTTGTAACCTGCAAAATATATAAATCGAGGCAATGACAAACTTTTCAGGTTTGCTTCATCACAACATCGAGCATGATTTGTTTTTTTTACAAGAACAAACAAACTACCTCGTCTGAGTGGAGATTGTATATTACAATGGTGGAATTGTCCATGCCAATAGCAACTATACTGTCATCTCGGGGGTGAAAAGCAAGACATGTTGCCGCAGGTGGATGTGGCATGACTTTTTTCATCAATTTTTACGCAACAGATGTTTATGAGTACAATGAGTTAGATCATGAGAAATTTGCAAACAGAACCTACGCATATTGACAAACAAGATTTGGGAAGTTTTGGATGGGAAAAGAAAATTTCAAGAATACTATTTGTGTTGGGTTTACCTTAAATGTTGTCATGTCAAAAATGGAGATCATCCCTCCTGTTGCAGATATGAGAGATGAATCATTCTTGGACAAATCAAAGCAGGACATAGCCTCTTCAGGGTTGGTGCTGGGAAGGTCATTGTTCATCAGCTCTAAGCCACTCCTTGGTTTCAATATATTAGGGTGAACCTTGTCCTAAACTATATCTTTTTTTTACCAGCCCTTCCACGAGATCACGGTTTGAAGCTCCTGAAAAATGTCTGTTTTCTACTGTGGCTAATTCAATATGGAGATGCAAGCCCTTGGGGTTAACTCAACTGGTGAGGAAGTAGGGAAATGAGTTAAGATCATAATAGATTTAATGTTCGATTCTCTCTAATATTCCAATGAAATCAAGAAAAGAAATCAATATGGAGATGTGACCTATACCCCCTTTTTTTTTTGTTCAGATTTTTAAGTACACTAGAAAACAAGGCATTTAAGATTTTTATTTTTATTTTTAAATTTATATGAACTGATAAGACTATTCTTATGAGGTAATTAATAACTTAGGGCGTGTATGGTAACGTTTTTAGTAACTTGGGTCGGTTTTGAAAAATGGATAGACTGAAATAGGAGAGAGCAAGAAGAGAGAGAAGGAGAGGTCAAGGTGGCTTTGCCAAATCCTACGAGATATGTGATTATATCTCTTTCAAGAAAGAGAGTTGAGGTTAAGGTGTGGTGATGGTTGTGTAGATTGAAGGAGCTATGAGGATCAATGGTAGATATGCCAAATCTGACGATAAAGAGAGGTCAAGGTTGAGAATGGTTGTGCAAATCGAAGGCGCTATCTAGATCAAGGTTTGTGTCGGTCTTCCGAATTAGATAAGAAAGAGAGGTTGAGGTGGTGGCGTTGCTGTGCATGGAGAAATTGGGTGGAGATTGGTGAGATGTGGAAAGAAAATAGGAGAAGATTTTAGCGTTTTAGGTGAGGTTTGATATGATGTGAAGAGTGGTATGGTGAATGTTGTGTCCAATCAATGTGTTATGCCACGCGTAACAATTTATAAAAATTAGAAACTAAAAACTTTAGAATACTAGTTTGATTTGGGTAAACCACCAGTTTGATTTTAGAAACCAAGAATCAGATCACTGCAGCCGGTCTAATTAGACTTCCAAACCAATTCTTTTTTTTTAAATCAAAGCAAAAACCGCACAAAATCAAACCGGTCAGTCCAATTCGGCCGGTTTTCTTCCCCAGCCCTAGGAATTGCAATCGAATATATACCCGGAGTTTCTGGTAGGAATGCCCCACTAGATGTATATAAAATTTTAATTTAATTAAAAAGAAAGGGGCAACTTGTAGATAATATATTCCACGTTGCCAATATATATTCAATATGAGCCAGAAATGAGGGGCAACAAGGTTGCCAATATACGTACGTCAACCCCGTTCTTCTTATCTACAATTGGCAAAACATCTACAATTAGCATAGCATATCTTGAACCTTCTAGCTCACATCTTCTCAATATGGCTGCAGGAGAAGAAGAAGAAGAAGAAGAAGAAGTGCTTCTCAGCCTCTTTGATTCATACTGGTTTGAACATGGAATTTTGAGCAAGAAATCCCCTTCAAAACCCTAAGAAGCAACAAACCCAAGTCTCCAAGTGGACCAATCAGCCCAAGAAGCAACCCAACAATAAGTACCAAATTTCCCCAGCCTTTCATGCTTGCCAAGGTCTCGAAGTGAAGACCAATCTTTATACACCAAAGGGAGCCTCTTCCCTTCTGATTCTCTCTCCCCACACTCAATCCTCATGAGCACCACACCGAAATTCCAAACAGTTTTCTCTGGTAAACAAGTCATAGAGTTCTCCAAACAAAGTGTGAAACAAGAACAAGTACCAGCAGCTCAGACAAAAAGGGTCCACGGTCATGGTGAAAGAAACAGAAGTAGAAGAAGACTAGGGCCCAGCAAGAGCTTATCCGACCTGGAGTTTGATGAGGTCAAGGGTTTTATGGATTTGGGTTTTGTGTTCACTGAGGAAGACAAGGATTCAAAATTGGGGAACAAGATAGAGATGAAGAGGATCAGAGAAATAATAATAATAATATTGATCCAAGTAGTCATCA